TATATATATATATATATATATATATATATATATAAGTATAACCTGGTGGATTTGTTGCTCCTGGCTGCGATGTTATAGCGCTTGGTTCGGCAGACTTTGTAGACTCCATAGTTTTCCTAAAAGTCTTCTTGTTACCTGCAGTAATACAGGTATCAAGTATTAGTAGTACTATATACATGTAGTAAAGGTCCACATAGAAATTTTGGGTGCACAACTAAAAATTATTCCCTGAAATAATAATTAATAACACAAAGACCAAAGATGGTCATAAAGAAATCAAGATCAGGTCAAACTGAAATTCTACCTTACCAAAAGGAGGTATAACAAAAACCACAACCTCCTTGCTTACTCACCTGACTGAAACTACTGAGTGTGTAACTTAACTGTCTTAAGCCATACATGGTGGGTCAATTGTATTGTAAATGTCCATGGGGTGGTTTCTACATTAGATGTCATGATATTGACGCTTTCAATCATCTTTTGTAACTAAACCTAAGATTTTGTATCAACTGACAGCATCGATTGCACCCCCCCCCGTAAGTGCAACATTTCGGGTTCACCCCCACCTCCTAAATTTTAGTTCACCAGCCCCCCCCCCAACCTGTTTTAGAATATTCCCTAAGTTTACGTTCGCCCGATAGGTCGTTCCTTAGTCATTGTCATTTCATTTCATTGTCAAACACTAAGTCACGTGCACATGGCAAATATGACGTACGTACTCGCGAACGGCCTGTCGGACGAAATAATGTTGCAAAAAAAACGTGACAAACACCCGGTATAATTTTTTATACTCACTGTGAGTAATGGAGACGGGAACTTGTTGCCACCGACAGTTAAATGGCCTTAAATACCTTGACCGAAAGTTATTTTTTCGGTATTAATAATAAAGCAAAGCAAAGATGAACATCTAAGTCAACTGCAAGACTTTCAGGTCCGATTCCTGACGCTAAACCAGGAAAAGAAAACGTCAAAAAGTCTCATACTCTGCCTATGTTTGACGCTGAGCGGAATTCTTGGATGCAAGTTTCCTACTTCCGGGTTTGCGCAGTACGACGTGCGCCGTCGTCGCGACCTGGTTTCAGTCATCAGGTCAGGTCAGGTCATTTCTCGATCAGACCATTCTTGATACTAGGGGTTTTCGTTAGAAATTGTCGTTTATCTATCTCATTTTTATAAGACAATCAAATATGACTGAATTCAAAACTAATTGATATCTATCAAGTTTCTATGTTTTGCTATATAAAATGCAAAAATATGTACTTTTTCATGTATTTATAGAACTTACGTTTCTCCCCAACTAATGTAGTGCAACATTCTGTTAGTAGTCCATTGCGCATGCTTAAAAAGGTCAGCAGGGTCAGGTAAACGCAGTTGTTTCAGAAAGTCGATATTTTTGTACAAAACTGACGATATCTTCCTCCCTATACAAAGCTGTAGCTTCATATTAGGTGGAAACCTCGAACAACATGTATAGATAGATATGAGAAGGTTTGGTCGTGCTTGCTTCTCTGAAAGCAGAGAAATTGGGCGGTGAACTTTCGCACGTGAGTGTTTTTTCCAGTTAGTCTGGCTGGGGAGGTCGTCCAAATTTGTCGTCTGCTGTGCTAGCTGTGCATGCACAGCTTTCCTTGTTCAAAGCCAGTGCCAACAATAACTGTCACTGTAGAGGGACTTATATAGCAGGTAAGACCTATTTTGTTGTTGTTTTTGGCCTTGTTTAACGTCTAATATCTCGCTAGACGTGGTCTCTAGGTGCTTGTTTACGCTTAGTTCAGTTCAGAGTCAATGATCTCTCTAGGTATATATTTAACACTTGGTGACTTGTGCTTGATTGTGTGATGCCAGAAGTGTTTCTAGGAGAGCACATCGAAACGTTGTGTTCTCTCGATGTACCGGGAGAAGGTTTGGTACATCTGCTTGTTTGTTCCTTTAGGAAGGCCTTCTCTCAAGAAGACCTCCGTATACGTGACTGCCATGGCTAAAAGAGCTGCAACAGCGGTGATCAAAAGTGCGGCTTCCCACCGGCCTCCCATGCGCCTGCCCCCCCTCCCCACTATCCGTGAGGTGGTGAAGCTGTACCGTCTGAACGCCGTCAAACAACTCTCACAGAACTTCCTGTTCGACTCCAACCTGACAGGTGAGACAACTTCAATATGCGTTTAACTGGTGGACGTCCCAACTACTAAGTACCTAATACCAGCCCAGAAGAGAACAAGAAATAGCCATGAGTATCAAGAGTATCAAATAACCATGAGTATCAAGTACCAGAGTTATCAACCAAGGATTGAGGTGTTCAAGAATTCATCTTTCCTAGAACTATCGCAGAGTGGAACTCGTTGTCACCAAGTACAGTAGAGGCATTGTCATACTCCATACTCAAGTGTACAGTTTCCTAGAAATCTAAGTCTAACATTGCACATCTGCTTCTGTTCCAGATAAGATAGTGAAATCTGCGGGTAATCTGGAGGGTGCGTTTGTGTGTGAGGTGGGACCTGGACCAGGAGGCATCACGAGATCCATACTGAAGGCCGGGGCAGCGAAGGTGGTGGTGGTGGAACTGGACAGGAGGTTCAACGCAGGCCTACGGGTCAGTCAACTTCTTCTCTGGAGTTAAAAGTTTTGTTTTTTTTGTATATATTCCAACAAATAATCACAAGACGAGGTGACGGCACACTCAAGTTTTTTCAACTTTTATCAATGCTGCCACCAACACGGGGCAAATACATGACAGGACAATACTCATTAACACCTGAGTGAAGTGAGAAAAGTCGTGTAAAGTGCCTTTCCCAAGGGCACAAGATCAGTGGCATATCAGGACTCGAACCCGGGACCTCTTGGTTCCAAGTCGAGCACTCAGCCGCTACGCCACATGACCCCACAAAGTTTAATCTTGACTGAAATTTGAGAGGCATAACTTTTTAACCTTATACTTAATTCCAACACAAAAAATTAAGGAGACTCAAAAAAAAATTCGGTCAACCTCAGGCAATATGTCTTGAATGGGACTTTGTCTAGAACCAAAGAAGATAACACTGGAGAGTTGTCAGAAAAGCAGGTTTATAAGTACGACCTATTGATTGAGATGCAAATATCAATGAAAATATCAGCTTTTATTTTGATATGATTATGAGGTTGTTTTTCTGTGTGCAGCTCCTCCAGGCTGCAGCCCCAGGAAGGGTAGAGATAGTAAATGACGACATCCTGACTTATAACATGGCCAAGGCCTTGCCTTTAGACCTTGCAGTACCATGGGAAGGAGGTAGGTGGCACTAGTAAGGTTGCTACATAAGTTTACCTGTAAAATTGCTAAACAAAGTATACTAATTATATCCCAGAGATAAGATTGTACTGTATATGGAAAAGAAATGTTAGGTTTACTAATAAACTACCCATGAAATTGCTTAGTATAGTAAAGAAATTGCACTGTATCATGTGAAATTGTACTGTAGATAAAAGATACAAGTTCTGTCTTCCCCAAGAAGACCACTCTGTGGACTGATAAAACCTGGTCTTTGTGGACAGGTGGTCACTATGGACAGGATTCTTACTAGTAAAGCTTGTGTCAATGGGGAAAACTATCTAAGGGGCCTCCAAAAAGTGGTCACAATGGCCAGGTAGTCCTTATGTAGAGGTACTAGATGGTTACTTGTACAGGTTTCACTATAGCGATGTTTGTTATTAAATTATGTACATGTACATGTATATGCCTTACTTTTAACTGTTTGTTATTGCTTCTATGTTACATGTAATGTATGTATCTATCAGCATACTCGCTGCCTAGTGCACTCCTCATATTGTTGTGTCACAATTTTGAATGAATAAATAAACAAACAATGTATATGATTGTTCCAGACCCGCCGAATGTCCACATCATCGGTAACCTGCCCTTCAACGTGTCGACTCCCCTCATTATCTGCTGGCTGGAGGCCCTGGCCCTGCGGACCGGTCCATTCGTGTACGGGAGGACTCAGCTCACCCTCACCTTCCAGAAGGAAGTCTGTGAGGTAAAAACTATCGTGTTATTTCTTTAGTTCAAACAAAACAAAATAGAAATATGGAAAAATATCACTGTTTATGTTTATCTCCGTAGAATGAAAACGTATTGTTTTTCTCAGTTTCTTCTTCCTCTTTTTCTACAAACAAATAAAGTCAATGACCTGAACCAGACATCTGTCACCATGGTAACTAGCATTGTAGCAGACACCCTGTGGTGTTGGGTTACATTATGTAGTGGAACAGTTGGGTTGCATGGGCAGCTCACCCTACATATGAATGTGTTTGACTTTGAGTAATAATAAATTTGTTGAGTTTAATAGATCATGTGAAGGTAAACATCATGCATTTGCTTGCATTCTAGTTGACTCTCCTTTTGCTAAATTCTATTTATGATGGAGGCTTTTAGATCTACAAGTTATCCTTTACAAATTGTTGCAGAGAATCTGTGCGCCGCCTCGGACCAGTCAGCGCAGCCGCCTGTCCGTCATGAGCCAGTACCTGTGCCAGGTGGGTTTGTTTGTTTGTTTGGATCTCCGTTACTATTACAATTCCAAATTAAAAAGTTAATCCAAATTTTTAAGACTGTAGATGCACAGTATTAATTGACATATTTTCATAATTGACAAAAACATGAATAACTGAAATGGACTGAGAACAATGTATATTGTATATACAGATGGAATGCAGTAAATAAAAATGTAATCATTATAACCAAACATGAATATAGTAACTTATAACAAGCCAATCATGTACGGGGGCTAACAGATACCTTCACTGGGTCAGTCTACTGAGGAAGACCAGAGTGACTGGTCGAAAGCTGTAGGTGAGAGAACTTCTTTGTGCTGGTTCCAAAGTTCAAACTTTAAACGTGTACATGATTCCCTAGGTGAAACACTGCTTCAGGATCCCTGGCAAGTGTTTTGTTCCGAAGCCAGATGTGGACGTGGGAGTGGTTCACTTCACCCCCCTGGTCAGGCCTCGTATCCAGGGGGTCCCCTTCAAGGCTGTGGAGAAAGTTGTCAAACATGTCTTCCACCTCAGGGGGAAGTACTGCAGGAGAGGGGCTGCGTGAGTATTAATCCATCCATCCCTCCATCTATCCATCCATTCCTACACAGACCCACCCACCCTACATCCTCTTCACAAATAGGAGAATGTAGGACTCGGGAGCTTTAATAGGTTTGGTGACCAGGCTAGCCAGGCCCAAGGGCTGAGTTAAAAGTTCTGTACATTGGATAAAGGTGTAACAGGGGTTTATAGGCGCTACCAACTGACCCGGCCGATGGGTCTAGACCTTTTTGGCCAATGGGTTAGAGTGTCGGCATGCGGACTGCGGGACTGGTGCGGTTCAAACCCCGCCCCAGGACCTGTGGGGTTTTTATCTGTTTCTACTGCTCGCCTCTTGTTTCTCGCAAAGGGTTTTGGAAGCCTAAAAACTTTTGGAAGCTGAAAATTTGGTTGAATGTGTGTGGGTTGACTGAATGTGGGTTGACATCTAACCTTGTCTGTTCCCTCCAGAGAACTGTTCCCCCCGGAAAGACCAGACCTGCTGGAGGACCTGTTTTCCCTGTCCGAGGTGGACTCGACTGTCAGACCGTGGCAGCTTACTATGACAGAGTGGGACAGGCTGGCACACGCTTACTGGGACATCTGTCAGAGAGAACCATGGGTGTCTCAGTATGACTTCAGGGCAAGGACAAGGGATAAGTTTCAAATACCACCTCGGCCAGAGGTTTTGGAGACATAAGAAGACTATTGAAAGACATGTTGTTGTTTGTATTGCAATATCTGACAGAAAACCCTGGGTTTTCTCACTATGACTTTAGGGCAGCAAGGAGAGACAAGTTTGTAATACAACATTGAACAGACGTTTTGGAGATGCTAAGGAGACAGAAGACAGTCTGCAGTCCTCCTGAGGCATCTGTCAGGGAGAACCCTGCCTGGATTTCTTACGACGACTTCAGAACGCTCAAAAAGAGGAGGTGGTTGAAGAGTCTTACCTTGATGGGAGGTTGCAGCTACGCAATAATTATAGAATTTAGTTTCCTTGGATTGTGGCATCTGTGAAAAAGGAGGGGGATTACAATGCAGCTAATAGGAGCTAGAGGCAAAAAAGTATATGTATCTATTAAAGAACCTGCATTTGGACAAAGCTTGTACTTCATAATTCTTGTAGAAGTGTTCACTCGTTTCCTTTGCATGTGTTGGCAATGACCTGTGTATTTGACAGATAGGAAGAAGAACTTTATTGCACGTTAATTGCACATGGTACAAAGGGTAGCAACAACAAATGAATAAAGTACAAAAAGTAAGTAAATGTATAGATATGTTGTCTGTAGCAGGTGAATGCCATGGTTCGTCTGTGAAAAGGAATTTAAGAATGACCTATCAGTTGTAAAAAGTGGAAAGTCCTACTGGTTAAAAAAACGAACGTCCTGTCCGTTGAACAAGCGAAATGGCCTTTCGTCCCAACCGTCTGTTTTGTGAATATGATTATAAGTTTGATATTCACAAAAGTTTAAAATACATAATCTTCCATTAGTTTTCTGCTTTCTGTTACGTCTTTCTTCCAGAGGACTTTTAAATAATGCGATGCGAAGAAAAGTTTGGTATTCATAAATGTGTATATCGATAGGTCATAGCAAGGAGGTTTAAAATATTGAACCTCCTTGGTCATAGAAGGTGAACGGCCTGTAGGTTGAAGAAGCTATTTAAATGTCCTGTTGTCCCAACCGTCACTGACTGTGCCATTATAGAGTCTCATAAATACAACGAGGTGTATCCATAGTATGAACTGTTAGTGACACTAGAAGTCTATCTGTTACATCTTTTAAGGAAGACTTTTAAGAATGAGAAGCGTATCCAATGGCAACGACTTCCGCATAGAAGTTTACGTGGACAATTTTGGCCCGTCACCCCCTTCAAGACAGCGCAAATGGTACGTCCCAGGTAAATTCAGATGAGGCATTGTCACGAGTTCCAGTCAGGTATTTTACGTCTTGCGTTACGGAGGGGCGGGTCATTTCAGGACAACAAGCTCAGCAGCAGTCAAGCCGACATAGCGCGCTTATAAACCTGCATTTCTCCTCTGGTCTCTCAGACACTGACGAAATCCCACTAGTGGATACTAGCTGAAACGTCTGACCGTTTCCAAAATCATATTATCCTGTTTTTTTGGCGTATCTTATTACCTGGATATCTAACCTTCATCGACGACATGGGGAAAGTTTGCGTGAACGCGTGTGTTCTGGCGTTTGCATTTTACGTTGTTGTTGTGAGTGCGAGTGGCGATGACTTCACCCATCAGGAGTATTTGGACGAGGAAGGAAAGTTTCTGCTCTTCTGGAAGTTTGACGATGAGAAGATCGAATTTGAAGCCCGGGTTCAGACGACAGGATGGGTCGGCTTGGGTATGTATCTGTATCTTCTGTATCAGTATTAGTATAGCCAGTATAACCGCCCTTCGACGTAACACACCAGCTTCTGTATCTGTATAGCCGGTATAACCACCCTTCGGCGTAACACACCAGCTTCTGTATCTGTATAGCCGGTATAACCACCCTTCGGCGTAACACACCAGCTTTGCAGGCACGCGGCGTGGTGGCAGCTGGCTACATTACACCGAACGACTTGTTACACCCAATCTTTGCACATTTAATTGCAGGAGTTGTTTAAAGCTTTCTAGTGATGATGCCCCTAACTGTGCTTGGTGGCAACGAGTTCCAGTCTACGATAGTTCTTGGGTAATACGAGTTTTTAACACCTCAATTCTTGGTTGATAACTCTGATATTTGACGGCAGGTCTCTCCCCGAACGGAGGCATGCCGGGATCCGACATCGCTATCGGCTGGGTCAAAGACGGGACTGCGCACCTCACAGTGAGTCCTCAGTCTCTACCAGACTAACTACGCTGGCTATATATAGGAGAATATTTGCCAGGGGAGTTTGGTCACCTTGTAGGTTTGACTGGAGGTTGGGAGGGAAAGAAACTACCTCCCCGCGGCCGGACTCCCTTGACCAATTTTACTCTCTTTTTTTTTTTGCCGAATTCTATGATCCGTATTCCCGTAAAAAGGCCTGGTGGAGGCTAGTGAGTTCTATTCAACTGCATTGAAAAAATATAAGTAGACGTTTTGTGGCTACATCTGATGTGTTTTTCGGTCCGTTTTTCTAGGTGAAAGATTGTGTACCCCAGTCTGGTTTATTGAGAACACGATATTTACGTGTACTATGGCAACTTCGTCCGCATATACGTTAAGTAAACGCGCAGTGGACACTTTTTGGCCCACCCCCTACAGGTCGCGACCGGTAGGGCGATTCGCTCTTTAACAAGTATAAACAAATCATTCCAGACCATATAATAGAATTTACCTGGGGTGTGTGAAGGCATTCATTTAATTACGATCTGCGTTGAAGATTTCGTGCTTCTGCATTCACCATATAGACGGATTATATAGCGACGAGAGTGTATCCTGACTTAGAAAATAGTACAACAACAACAGTAAGAGTTGATTAAGAAACCTCCTGCAGGTGAACATTAAACAGGGCCATGTTTACTGTGTAACCTGCTGTAACATGACCCATGGGTTTTACATACGGCCTGGAGGTCGGGCAAGCTTAGCCTCCATCGCAGACCTCTGAGGTGTCGTCAATTTTTTTCGGGGAGCGATGCGAGTTAATTTTAATTGTTTATTTCAAGTTCATGCCCGAGGGCTAATTGCAAAGACGTTGACAAAAAACAATGAATACGGAATGTAGTGATATAAAACTATATGACATAAAGGTTCTACGTATATAATCTACTTATTTAGCTTCCTATCTCTACTTACATATAATAACGTTGGTATACGGGATAGAGAGTGAGTATGCAATACATAAACAGGTTAATAGTATATAGTAAGTATACCGCCGAGGGACTTTGCCGGAGAAAGACGGTTTCTTATCTTAGGCGGCGAAACCGTCTCTCCCCAGCATAACTCGCATCGCTCCCCGAAAAATTAACGCCGCCGCCTCAGAAGTCTGCGAAGGAGGCTAGGACAAGCTCGGTAGATGTTGAAGAATTATCCTGTCATGAGACTTTAGTCCTTGGTCAGTGTGCGTATCGGAGTGCGTCAGTGCAAACATGGGCGTGGTACAAACTTTCTGAAAATAGGGGCGTCGCAATGTCCGCGACCTTTGGCCCAATTTGTTGATGGTCAAATGAAAATTGCCAAATTTCAACATTGTCCTTGGGCAGTCATAGCCTCTACCAGGCTTCGGAAAGCGGCTGGAAAGACTGGACATTATTGACCAAATACTAGTATTATCCAGAGCGACTAACTGTTCTCTTTATAGCACGGACCAAGCACATCGTCTGTCTATTTCGACAATTTCTACTCTTTCCAGTCGCTTTCCGAAGCCTGGTAGAGGCTAAGAGAGTCGAGCGTACTTTTTAAGCCTGAATAACCTGTCACACAGTGGACATAGAGATCTGCCTTTGTTCCCGGCTTCTGACTGAATGAGGTCATGCTTTGGGACGTAAATAAACGCATTTATTTTCCTCTCTTTGGGACGTAAACACATTTAGCTTGCTCTCTTTGGCCGTAACACAATTTCCTGAGCACACCACCCTTTAAGTACCTCAAGCCAGCCTAGAAAAAGGGAGTAAGAAGAACCCACCAAAACTACAACAGGGATGCCAAAACATTTCACGGAATTCATACGATCCTTACTGATAGGTGATCCAGGTGCAGGTCACCAAATTAGTAAAGATCGTAAGATTCCAAGTAATGGATCGTATGTATTTCGTAAAATTTGTATGAATGCCGTAAAATTCGTATGAATTCCGTAAAATTTGTATTAATTCCGTAAAATACCTATCAATTCTTTGGCACCCCCGTACAAGATTAAATGCGTGTACCATGCATGTTCTTAATCTTTTTTCCTTCAAGGTTAGAACAGAAAAGTCAATATTTCTTAAGAAAGATTTTTGCAAACTTTCACGGACCAATGTATTTACACAACGACCTGCTGGTCGTTTTGGGGGTCAATCAAGTGTGTAAGGTCAACGTCCTGCAGAGCGATAGTGACGTAAACTCACGCTCGACGAATCACATCGCCCTATCGGTCGTTTTGACACAGTTGCAAAGTTTCTTTGACTTTCCATGCAAATTATATATATATACAGTGTGTATATATAGAGCACAGGTCTTTTAAGGTTTTCAAAACGTAGGACATACAATACAACATTTAAATATAAAGTTTGTCATTTCTGTGACCAAACCGTTAATTTTTCTTACATTCTTCCTTTTTGTTTGTTGTGAACACTATTTACTTATCAATTAATAGTTTTGGATATGTTATAGTTATGTTTTCCGAAGGGAACATTGTTTTTGCTCAGTTTCTTCCTCTTCTTCTTCTCCAAACAGTGACCTCTGACCTGACCAATGACATGATTTCTTGACGTCTGCCACCATGGTGACTGGTGTTGGGTTACATAATGTTGCAATTTCATGGTCTGCTCTGCTCCTGTCACCATATACTCGTAGTACATGTATGTGAATGTGTTTGAGTAAGAATTAACAGAGCAGAACATATCCGAAGGTAAACATTATGCATTTGCTTTGCAAATGTTAATTCTCTAGTTTTGTAACATTTCTCCTCCTACCCCAGGACCGGTATGCCGAGGCGCAGGGCCAGCCCCCTGTGGACGAGAGTCAGGACTGGGAGCTGGTGTCTGGGAACGAGAACGGGACGCACACCGTCCTGAGGTTCAACCGCAGGCTGACGACGTGTGACGTCAGAGATCGCGTCATCAACGTGAGTTCAAGCTCAGTAAAAATTAATAACTCATATTGACTACGTATACAAACTTATATATCAGATATCAGAATGCAATAGAGTAGAGTAAAGTAGAAAAGAAAATAGTAGAGTAGAGTAGAGTAGAGTGTAGAATAGAGGAGAGGAGAGTAGAATAGAGTAGAGTAGAGTAGAGTAGAGTAGGGAAGAGTAGGGAAGAGTAGAGTAGTAAAGCAGAGTACAGTAAAGTAGAGTAGAGTAGAATAGAGTAAAGTAGAGTAGAATAGAGTAGAAATGAATAGAATAGAGTAGAATAGCGTAGAGTAGAATAGAGTACAGTAGAGTAGAATAGAGAAGGGCAGGGTAGAGAAGACTAGAGTAGAAATTGGCCAAATAGAGAGATAGCATGCTAGGGGAGTTGGTCTGCAGGAGAGTACAGTTTGCTGCTCCCTCTCTCCATTTGGCCGATTTCTACTCTTCCCAGCCGCCTCCCGAAGCCTGATAGAGGCTACTACTCAGTGTCACACGACAGTAACCTATGTTTCTCGTTCCCAGGACGACACCATGCGTGTTCTGTGGGCGTGGCACGATAACGACCCAGAAGACGACACGGGCCCGAGCGGCCCTGCCTACCACGGGTCTAACCGCGGGGCCAGGGCCACTCTTCTGCTGAACAGAAAACTCACGGAGACGCCCGCAGTAGGGACGACTCACACGTTCGACCTGATCATGAACAACGTAAGGATTCTTTCAAACTTATTACAATTACATTTTACAATTTCAATGACAATGAAATATATGTAACTATGTTACGTCTCGTATCTACAACTACCGTTTTTAAGATCCATACATACCTTCGTCGCATCAGAAATATGTTAACGTAAGGCTTCTTTCACAGGCATTTTACAATGACAATGAACTTTATAGCAAATTCACGCCCTACATGGGACAAATGGACTACATTGGATAACTTGGGTATTAGGGTATGGGGAACAAGTGCTACATTACTATGTTACGTCTATATCTACAACTACCTCTTCAAAGATCCATCCACACCTTCGTCCCATTGGTAAATATGTTACAGATTTATATGAAAAGTAGATTAGATCTTTCATTACGATACTTTGTATATTTCACCACTATACCACATTTCGCCATGTGTTTGTGTCCTGTTGCAGGTCTCGATTCCCAGTCACCAGGACACAACCTACTGGTGCCGCGTGTTCGAGATGCCAACCCTCGCCAGCAAACACCACATCATCAAGGTACGTGTGACACGTCATCTAGATACGTGTAATAAGTCATTAAGGTATATGTTACGCGTCATCTGGATATGTGTGCACGTCTTCAAGGTACGCGTTTACGTCATCAAGATAGTCGTGGTAGACGTCATCAAGGTACGTATACACGTCATCAAGGTATGTGTTACACGTCATCAAGGTACGTGTAACACGTCGTCAGGGTACGCGTAATACGTCATCAAGGTACGTATCACGTCATCAAGGTACGTGTACACGTCATCAAGGTCCGTGTATGGCTTCATGAAGGCTTGAACATGTTGAGAAAAGTGCTGTTTCCAAAATAAATGTACTGTCGATAAGTTTGTTCTGTTCTCTGACGGACTTTGCTTTGTTTTCTACCCTCAGGCCGAGCCGGTCATCACCGCGGGTAACGAGGGGGTTTTCCACCACCTGATCTTGTACAAGTGCCGCAGAAACCCCAACATGACCGTCGTGCCGCAGGAGCATCCGGGACACGAGTGTTACACTCCCAACATGCCCAGCGACTGGTCCGACTGCTACGAAGGAAGCATGGTCGTGGCCTGGGCCATAGGAGGAGGGGTGGGTCAAACAGGATATTCTTAAAAGAATGAATGAATATTTTATTAATGCAAAACTTTGCAGCATTCTGGCTGAAACACGTTTCACATACACCAGTTCAACTCGAGTAGTATTGGAACAACACGAATAACTAACACAAAGCAAGGACACATTTTACAAAGATAAGAGTGTTGTTAACTTGAGAAGTTTATCTGTTATTCTATCAGTTATTTTAAGATATTCTATCCTATGATAAGTATCATCTTGGCATGTTAGCGGCGAGAACACTATCCCAAACGTGGCTAAGTTTGTATCCCCCCTCGTCCCGGTTAGCCTATACTGGTTGTGTAAAAGAGAACCAAACCACTATATATATCCTATACTCTACAAACCTGATGAAACTATTTTCGGAACTGATTGTTTCTTTCTTTCCCCTCCCCCAGGACGTAATTTACCCTGAGCACGTTGGTTACCCGATAGGCGATGAGGAGGGTACCGGATATGTGCTCATGGAGGTGCACTACGACAACCCTCAACTGGCATCTGGTAAGTTTCTGTACCTGTATCTGTATAGCCGGCGAAAGCAGGTACGCGGCGCGGCGGCAGCTAGTTTTACACACCGAACGATCTGTTACATTCAATCTTTGCACAATTAATTGCAAGAGTTGTTTAAAGCTTTCTGGTGATGATGCCCCAACTGTGCGTTTTGATATTTTATACTTCATTATGTATCTTAAGTTTAACTTACCTGTGGAAGTGAGTTGTTCAAAGCATATTTTAGCCAGATGGCTGCAATGTTTTACAGAAATAAACCATTCATTCATTCATTCATGCAGGTATATCCGACAGTTCGGGCATCAGAATCACCTACACGCCTGAACTGAGGGACCACGACATGGGTACACTGGAAGTTGGCGTGCTGGTGACTCAGTACCATGTCATACCTCCTGAAACAGAGGAGTTCACTTCTTCTGGATTCTGCAGCTCACAGTGTCTCAGCGAGGTGAGTACACTTTACCTAAACATTTAGACCTCCGTGAATAGTTTTTTTTTATATTCCAACATGTAATCACAAGACGTGAAGACGGCACGCTCAAGTATTTTCAACTTATATTAAGTTAATGCCACCACCAATACAATACTCATTTTCACCTGAGCGAAGTGAGGAAAGTCGTGTATCCATTGCAATTGCTGCGCAATAAAGATTGATTGTAAGGTGCCTTGCCCAAAGGCCCAAGATCGGTGGCATGTCAGGACTCGAACCCGGCACCTCTTGGTTCAGAGTCGAGCTCTCTGCTGCTACACCACACGACCCCCTGTACTATTGTCGAGTCAATAAAGAATCTCTAATCTTCATCTCTAGTTCATAGAAGAGACGGGACAGCCGATTAAGATCATCGGGGTGATGTTGCACGCGCATCTGCTGGGAGTCCGGCTGCACACCCGACTGATTCACAACTTTTGTCGAGTCAATAAATGAAAGTTCATGAAAGTTTTTGCAAATACATGCCCGAGGGCTGATTGCAAATGCAAAAAAAAAACATGTATGAAAAGGAAGGTCACGACGGTAAATAGTTGGTTTCTGATATCATTATAGAGTGAACAATAAAAAAATCTCTAATTTCCATCTCCAGTTCATTGAGGAGTCGGGAGAACCTATAAAGATCATCGGGGTGATGTTGCACGCCCATCTGCTTGGCGTCCGGCTGAACGCACGACTGATCCACAACGGCACGGAGACCGAGATAGCGCGGGACGACAACTACGACTTCAACCTGCAGAGCACACGGATGCTCAAGGAAGAGGTCACCGTCTATCCGGTAATATACACGTCTTTTTGCTATGTTTACCTTCACAGAAGGAAAACATGTTGTTTTTGCTCTGTTTCTTCTTCTTCCTCTTCAAGGATGCTCAAGGAGGAAGTCGCCGTCTATCCGGTAATTATTTGGACATATAAAGACATATTCACAAGTTTAGAGTTAAAACTTTTAGATCCAGCACAACAAGTTCTCTCACCTAGAGCTTTCGACCAGTCACTCTGGTCTTCCTCAGTAGACTGACCCAGTGAGGCTTGTCACGTGGCTTCTTTTTAGTGTGACGTCAACACTGGGTCAAAGGTATCTGGTAGACGATGTCGGCCCCCGTCGCGGTTTAGTGAAGGGTGATGTATTAGGGTTATTCACAAATTGACGTAAAAACTACATTGCAGCCTAATAATACAAAGAAATATTGTTTTAGCCTTGATGTAGTTCCTTTACATTACTTTAAGTTCAAATTTTACTGACATTAACTTTCCTTTTTTTCACAGGGAGACGTTCTGATTACGGAGTGCACCTACAGTTCCGCACACAAAAACTCTGTGACGTATGTAAGTAGCCCTTCCCTTTTTTATGTTTACCGAAGGAAAACATATTGTGTTTGCTCAGTTTCTTCTTCTTCTTCTCCAAACAGTGACCTCTGACCTGGTCAATGACATTCAAACCAGACTGTCTCTGACCTTGGTAACTAGTGTTGGATTACATCATGTTGCAATTTTATAGCAGGAGGGATTTAGACTCCTGTAACCATATATGTGAATGTGTTTGAGTAAGAATTAACCTATCCTATTCTAACATTTGATTACAAACCTAAAAAAAATTAAAATGGCGAACGTTACTTATCCTATTCACTGATGCAAGATTATGAAGGATATAAAAGATAAGGATTTTAATAAATTTTACTTCTAATCTACAGGGTGGACTTAGCACCACAGATGAGATGTGCGAGACGTTTTTCTTGTACTACCCGAGGTTCAACCTGAGTTTCTGCGACAGCATGGCGAACATACACCACGTCGTGAACTTTGCTGGGGTCCAGAATTTCTACCTGTGAGTATAATTAGCTATTTTATCTATAATTATTTATCTATTATGTTTATCTACACTTGTGGGTTCAGTAGAGACTTATGACGTTGTAACTGGTTTTGGGTTACATCATGTTGCAATTCTATAGTCGGAGGGATTTAGACTCCTATCACCATATATGTGAATGTCAATGTGTTTGAGCAAGAATTAACAGAGTAGACCATATGCGAAGGTAAACATTATACATTTGCTTTGCAAATTTTACCTTTCTCCTCTATATATTATGTTTATCTACACTCGTGGGTATAGTAGAGAGTTGTGATGTTTACCTTCGCAGGAGAAAAACATTTTGTTTTTTCTTCCGCTCCAAACGCATAAGGTCAATGACCTGGACCAGACGTCTGTCACCATGGTAACACGTGTTGTAGCAGACACCCTGTGTTGTTGGATTACATAAATGTGTTTGAGTAAGAACAAACAGAGCAGTATTTTGTAAGGCTAGATCATGTAAAGTAAACATTATCCATTTGGTTTCCACATGTTAACGGTCTATCGCACATAAAATCAGTTTCATGGCAGGATTCGAACTCGGGACCTCTTAGTTACGAGCCGAACCCTCTGTCGTTACGCCACACGATCCAACATTTCGTTTCCATTTTGTGTTTCCAGTGACGCATCGTTTGACGTGCACGTCCTCGCACCGGAAAACATGGTCAACATGTCCTACCGAGAGGTGATGGAGGCCGTCCCCTGGTCTCGCGAGAAAGCACAAGACTTCGCAGAATTCCAGATGAACTCGACCTTCTACTCGTCTTGCCGCGGAACGCCAGAGTCCAGCGTGGACACAGTAAGAACATCCTTGGTGTACACCTATATATACTAGATCTATACAAAGCCATTTACACGTATTGTAAGCTGTGTGTTGTTGCAGTGCATGTAGTTGCGTTGTTTATAACCTTGGTGAAAATTTGGTGAAAAGTTTCATGCCTCTGGACCAAGATGTTGGGAGTTCCAATCCGATCTCTAGTCACTCCATCCGACATTCACGCCACTGGAAAGGGTCGAAGTCCCAAGGACAGGACGTTACGCTGTGGTCCACTATTCATTGCGCTTGTCGAAAATAGCTAGGGGAACTTCACCGGTAATGAACATTGTACCGGAACTAGCTCTTTTTTATTAAGCAACGTAGAAACGTACAGGGCACAGTGTTGGGCAACTCTGGCAGGTTGCTAACCTTAGCCCCGCTACTGACAAAGAAGAGCACATAAACTGACGCTAGCTAGCCCATGGCCAGTGAGCTAAAGCTGGATCGAGACCACTTTCCACTATAACTGTGATGTTTCTTGTTTAAACTAGGACGCCCTGCAGCAGTTCACGGTGCCCTTCCCGCGCGGCACTAGACAGCCCAGGGAAGACGTCTGCAGTCTGAGGGCTACTCCAACTCCGGATCCACAGGGCGGGTCCGGACCTTCCGACAGCCCGGGCCCAGCAGGCGGGTGTACAGCATTGCAGGCTCACCACGCTGCCGGATATGTCCTGAGCACCTGTCTGGTGGCGCTCGTCTTCACTATCTGGGCGGAGTAAACGTTCTGTGTGCCTTAAGGTGCACCATGTACATTTGTACCAGTACTAGAACTTGTCAAATGTTATCTTAAGAAGTGTTCTGAGGTTTGTGTTGAGCTATCACTCAAGGAAAACAAAGTGTTTCCTACGTTGTTGAAGGTTAGACATCCAGGTAAACAATACTCATAGGAAATTCAAACTCTACTACGGAGATAATGTCCGGATATCATCTCCGTAATTTATCCAGTAGTAGAGTTTGAATTTCCCACGAGTAAAGTGTTTCCTAATATTTTTCCTTACTGCCTGCCTGTGCTGAAAAACAATGGTCTGAGCAAGCTATCATAGATATGTGTTATGGAAACTAAGAAATCATCTTTTGTTATGGTGTGGCATTTTTGTATGATTGTTTAATCAAGTGCAGAAAATAAGCAATGTATTTTTTAGTAACATAAACACACACAATAATTTCTTAATTGTACACACTATAAAGCAGAGTACCTAAACAGAGACTTTATATATTAAGGGCTGTACTTTTTTGTGTGTCAATAGAGAATCTCTATATTAATGTTTCATGGACATTTTCATTAAATTGACGGGCGATTTCTTACGTCGTTTAAGTTAGTTAAGGCTTGTGATATTTTGTACAAGGAGTTGTGATCTTATCAATTGAAGACGTCCAGTTTATAAATAATTACAATGTAAATAACTGATTTGTTTTTAATCATGCTGTTAACTTGGAGTAATACTATTGCTATGAGCTGTACACATTTTCTCTTGATTTGCCTTGTAAACATTACATTTGTTTGAAAATATAAAAATGTTTGAGTTTTTCTTTCTAATCGAACACAGGGTGTTAGCACAATAATACAATACTTGCAGGTAGTACATGTATGCATTTGCTAACACAATACACAATGTCAAGTCAACTTTGTCTTCGTTTTAAAAGTAAGTCAAGTGCCATGAATATATACACATCTTTACATATATACATACATATGAACATTTGTGTGCGTGTGTTTGTGTGTAGTGTGTATGTGTGTGTGTCTAGTGTGTGTGCGTGTGTGTGTGTGTGTGTGTGCGTGTGTGTGTGTGTGTCTGGACTTTGGTTTGAAGTGACAATTTATCAAAATGTCAGCAAGTCTACATGACTAAACTTCTGTTTTTGGTTTTAATGCGTGTGATTAACGCTCCCCTATCATCGCTGTCTCAGAACAAAGATACAAGTCATGTTTTATTTTGCAAACTCATGATCATTACTGAGCTGCCGGGCCCCGTCCGTACTGAACACAGTGGGACTGCTGCTCGTACAAGGCGTTTCTAGCAGGACTGGAGGCAGTTTCGGTCTCGTTCAGACCGTAATTTGGTGTAGGATTCAAACTGGAACGGCTGAGATCTCCATCTAGTGCCTGATACACCGTAGCCTGTGTGCCATCCTCCTCCGGCTCCCTGAAGTTGCCAGCTACCTCCGTGGTGCCCAGCGACGTCGACATTAGGGAGCCGGAAGAAACTACGGAGGGTTGCACACAGGCCTGATACGTCGGATTAGCTGCTGCGACCCCATAAGGCACAGGCTCGTCACCAGGCTCAGTGTCATCGTTTTGGGAAGTTTCGGTAGACTCCATTGCTGTCTCGTGTCCAGGGGTGTCACCGTTGTCATCATAGACAGGTACGGGAGGGGGCGCTGCAGAATCGTACTGGTGGTTCAGGACCTCCCCATCAACAAGATCATCACTCTGCAAGGACGCGTCGTCGTCGTTGTCATCATACAACGGATCGGGAGGGGGCGCTGCAGACGCGTACTGGTGGTGTAGGACCTCCCCATCATCAGAAGGGTCTTCGCTATGCGTTGACATGTCGTCCTTGCAGTAATGATGAACCTCCGCCTGTGTCAGGCCTGCAGTAGCGGGTTCTGCCGCGCACTGGGGACCGGTGGTAGATTGCGCAGCTTCTGTGCCTTGCAAATAACGAGAAAGGCCAGTGTTTGGGTTGTCAACGTTATCGACAGAGATAGCTATGGCCATTGCCTGCAGACCGACGCCTACGGAGGCACTTGCGGCGGCGTGAGAATTGTCCCTGCTAGCCTGTCGGTGTTTCATCCAAAAAACTATGGCGGCGACTATTGAAAGTACGGCAGCAACAGTAATGGAAATGATAAACACAGTGTTTGGCTCATGTGTTTTGTCTGTTTCAGAAGTAACGTTGCCACGAGCACACAGCTCACGATCCAACGATTCTGAAGAAACCGAAGATTGGTTTTTTGAACGGAGACAAATGTCTGTGCTGTTTTTCACCGGTACGTTTTCAGTTTTGGGCCGTTTGCGTTTCGATTTCTTGTCAGGATGCTGAATCGTGCAGAGCACCAGATCGTATTTCAGCTTGACGCTACCTCTGTCCGCTACCAAGCTGTACACACCAGCGTCCTTAGCAGTGTAAGTTTTTAATAACATACGAATCTCTGATAGACTTAAGACCGTAACGCCCCCTCGGGGTGTTCCAGTAGAAAGAACTGGAAGCGGGTAAAGAGCCTGCAGGAGCTGGCAGACGGATCGGGATGTTCTCGAGTACACACAACATGAGCGGTAAAACACCCATGTATTTATAGCGACTTTTGATGAACACTGCCTTTTTAATGAAGGGGCGACTATGTGCTGTGTGTATCATTGTGTATACAGATAGTAGCACGCCGTTATCTTCACGTATTGTTGGTGTGTGTTCTGAGTTATAATCGGCAACGCAGATTGGCCCGTCTGGGCATTGCAAAGGATTGCCCTGTACATCAAACGTAGTGTTGGGGTGTGCTAGTCGCGTAGCATACATTTTACTGATGTTGTTTGCCCTTAGCAAGACCAGTTTTAGGTCCTTACTGGGGATTAACTTGAAGGCCTGCACTGGAAAAACAGAGATACGATTTCCAGAAAGCTCCAGGAACTCTAGACTTGCCAGGCCGCAAAAAGCGTTTTCCGACACGACAGAAATGAGGTTATTAGAGAGGACCAGATCTGTTAGCGATTCGAGAGTTGAGAAGATGAAATCATGAAGAGAATCGACGTAATTTTGGTCAAGATCAAGAAGCACTAATTCGCGAAGACCGCGGAACGTAAGGGGTGATATTTCCTTCACCTTATTGTTGGAGATAAAAAGGAATCGTAAGTTGTTATAAGTTGTTGTGTTAAAAGAGCCCAGGTCGGTTATGTCGTTATCTGACAGCTTGAGAGTATGTGTGTCTGCTGTAATGTTGTGTGTTGGGACGTGTGTTAAGTCACGCCCTGTGAAGTCGTACGTTTTAAGGACCAGCCACATGCTGTAGTGGTGCATGATGTCAGGAGTATGAAGCAGATCAAGGCGTTCATTTTGTATCCTGGCAGCATTTCTTTTCGCAGCGAAAAAAAACTCCTATAGAAACAAACAAACAAATGAGAAAAATTGTTTAGTATTGGAACAAGGAGTGGAACTTGTTTTAAAATCAAATGCACATGGCTTCACGTGGAAGTACAAGGCGACCTATGACCAGCCCTTCATAATTACCTTCGCCAAGAAGGTTATGTTTTCAGGGGCGTTCGTGTATGTGTGTGTGTGTGTGTGTGTGTCTGTCAACACGATAACTTGAGAAGGTCTTGATGGATTGTCTTGATACTTGGTAGGTGGGTAGGTCTTGATGAGACCTCAAAATGATTAGATTTTGGGCCACCTGGCGGCTTGTCATGGTACTGCAGCAGAACTTCCGGTTTTGATATCTCATGATCCAGACATGCTAGGGTGACGAAATTTAGATGGTAGATAGCTCTTGTGCTGGGGATAAAGTGACATGAGTTTGAGCCCCCTAGTTGCTTGCTCTAGAACTGCAGGGGGGTTTAATGGACAAATGTTTAAAGGGGGATAACTCAAGAACCGATTGATGGATCATCGTGATTTTTGGTATGTAGGTAGCTTGAGTGATACTTGACATAATGATATTACAATTATGCAAATATGGATGTAATTTGCATAATTAATGAGGAAATTCTATTTATCAGCTGTATTCCATAATAGGAAGTTCAAGCTTGTGACATATGTTATTAAGAATGAGAGAAACACAGGCAGATATCGATTATGCAAATGAAGACTTAATTTGCATAATTAATGAGAAAATATTATAATTGCATAGTGGTAACTGCCTGGAATTTTATACTTGGGGTGTTTGAAAGTTACGTTAAGGTGAACATAATTAAACATAACTTATTCAACAGATATAATTCATGCAATTGAGGATGCTATTTGCATAATTAGGGGGACTAATATATAATTTCTTAATCATAAAAGCTAACATCATTTGGTGAAGGTATGAGATCGTGGAACTCTAGTTAGTTGATACTTCTTAAAACTTACACCCCCTTTCCACGAAGGGTTGACCGACCATATTTGACATGGCGCTCAACCAATTTCACAAAGAACGTTCTTTTGTGTGCTTTGTTGTCTTTCGAATCATTCGTACCATCATGTTTCGTATGAAATTAAAAATATGGCATAAAAATCTAATTTGGTCGCTGAATTTTCACTCAACGATCACAATGTTGTGGAAAGGTGCCTTAAGCAATATCCTGCAATGCAAATCACGAGGCAAGAAGCTCTTCAAAAATTAACTTCCTTACATCATTTGTAAACATGAAAAGGTAGAAACGGATCTAGCTTAAGCTTATAGAGGATGTGCCCAAGGGTCGTCGACATTACCTGTATTGGAGACGTGACTACACCCGTGATGCAGAAACCAGACATAAACGCACACGTACGCCATTATGGATGGCTTCCTTTCAAGGAAATGCTTCGAGGTTGTCTGGGATCCCACCAAACTCATTTTATCATTGATAACAGTAGGGGTCCACATGTTTGTTCATATTCCAACATGTAATCACAAGACGTGGTGACGGTACACTCAAGTTTTTTCAACTTATATTAATATGCCGCCAACAACACAGGGGACAATACAATACTCATATTCACCTGAGCGAAGTGAGGAAAGTGCCTTTCCCAAGGGCACAAGATCGGTGGCATGTGAGGACTCGAACCCGGGACCTCTTGGTTCCGAGTCGATCACTCTGCCGCTACGCCACACGACCCCACACAAGACACATGTTTGTACTAAGGTTACTGCGACCCCAACTGGAAACGTGTCACCCGTCCACTGTCCAACTCCTCTGGAAATTATCCAGCCTATTTTGCCATTTTCTGCCAGCTGGTAGCAGCCGAACGGTTCAGTAGTGATTAACACTACCAGGGTGTAAGGATAGTGACTGTGATGTGACTAAGGATACCAATATATGAAAGGGAGAACACCTATCCATAAACTTGACCTCGACGATACTGCGTACCTAAGGCAAGGAACGTACCTGAAGTTACTTACCTACTCAGGCCTATTGCCTATCCTTACCTGAAGTTGCCAAGTCAGATTTTGGCTCCGGATCTTTCGGGTGTCTGTGGCGCAGTGAGGAAGATGGTCTGAATGGGTCTAGGGTACTGTTGACTAGGAAATGTTGCATAGCTAGTAGTAAGTGGCTGTCATTGGTTGGAAAATATCGTATGATTTCTCATAAACTGTTGAATAGGAAATGTTGCATCGATAGACAGTTATAAGTGGCTGTCATTGGTTGGAAAATATCGTATGATTTCTCATACGAGAAAACGTCACTGGTTGCCAAGGTATTTCTTTTATTCCAACATTTCATGACTAGACATGGTGACGGCACACTCAAGTTATATCAACTTATCTTATGCATTATCAACGAAGATAGAGGACAAATATGGAACAGGACAATACTTATTTTCACCTGAGTTAAGTGAGGAAAGTCGTGTAAAGTGCTTTTTCCAAGGGCACAAGATCGGTGGCATGTCAGGACTCGAACCCGGGACCTCTTGGTTTCAAGTCGAGCACTCTGCCCCTACGCCACACGACTCCACGCCAAGGTTGCCAAGGTTAGTGGTTTGACGTGTGCGGATGTGAAGCAGTAATGAAAACGTGCTGTAGTTAGTTGATTGTGAACAGTTTTGTTTCATTTCATCAGAACTTCACAGACACACGTCCTTGTAAAGTCTAGTGCAAGCCAAGGGCAATTGTCTATAAAGGTTCTCTCAACGCATTGCAGTGTGGGGTTGTGTGGCGTAACGGCAGAATGCTCCACTCGGAATCAAGAGGTCCCAGGTTTGAGTCCTGACATGCCACCGATCTTGTGCCCTTGGGAAGGCACTTTACACGGCTTTCCTCACTTAACGCAGGTGAAAATGAGTATTGTCTTTTCCTGTATTCGTCCTCTGCATTGGTGACGGCATAAAATAAGTTGATGTAACTTGAGTATGCCGGAGTCACCATGTCTAGTCATGAAATGTTGGAATATATAAAAAAAGGCAATTGTCTTTGAAGGTTCCCTCAACTAGCATTTGGTTGCAGGGTCAGATGGTTACATTATTACGTATACCTCTTTTGATTACCCTGAAGATTTCTGACAACCGTACATTCCAACTTCTGAGTTTATTCAACATGTTATTTGCGCATTACATGTAATAATGGACACTTATGCAAAATACAAAGGAGCAAGAAAACTAAAACCAGCCATGTTGAATATTTCCTTAACATCTTTATTCATGTACAAATGTATAAAAAAACAATACCTAGTATCATAAATTTGTAGATTTGTGATGAAAAAGTTCATATCATCAGTGACAAAAAGTCAAACTGACGGTAAGGCTATTCAAAATAATCTTTCTCTATGTTACAGTTACTGAATCTCACCAATTTTCATTAATTTTTCCACGTTTACAGACAAAAAGAAAAATACGAGTACTCTTTCACTCATTACTAAAAAATTGGAATCTTTCGAGAATAGACTAGTCATGTGTCTCAATTGTCTGTTAATCTGTATATTTCCTGTTACTTGCAGTTAGAATTTGGGCAAGAATTTGAAATTTAAATTTATATATATACATGTGTCGATGCTATTCAGGTATAGAACTAGACGATGGAGACTATCTAGAACCGTGCCTGACCCTAACCCTAACCTATTCAGGTATAGAACTAGATAGACACGGTTCTGGGTACGATAGAGACTATCCAGACCATGTCTGATCCTAACCCTAACCCATTCAGGCTTTAGCACTTGATAGGCACGGTTCTGGATACAATAGAGACTATCCAGAACCGTGCCTGATCCTAACCCTAACCCATCAGGCATAGAACTAGCCAGGCACGGTTCTGGGTACAATAGAGACTATCCGGAACCGTGTCTGATCCTAACCAAACCCTATTCAGGTATGGAACTAGATAGACACGATTCTGGATACAATAGAGACTATCCAGAATTGTGTCTGATACTAACCCATTCAGGTATAGAATCAGATAGGCACGGTACTGGCTAGGATAAACGTCTAGCACCCCAGCCACTCCGTCGCGATGTCCTTCCCGTAGCGATAGCCCCGGGCAATCCGGTACAGTTTCTCACTGTACTTCCAGTACTTCCCGTCCTTAAAGAAGTAACTGTGATCTGTAAAACAGACAAGATCCAATGAATGAATGAATGAGTGAATGAATGAATCAATGAATCAATGAATCAATCAATCAATCAATCAATCAATCGATCGATCAATCGATGAGGGGTTCTTAATCGATTCGTTCTTCATATGGCCTACTACCTCTCAGATGTCTTCAACCTTTAATCAATCAATCAATAAATCAATAAATCAATAAATCAATCAATAAATCGATAAATCGATAAATCAATGAATCAATCGATCAATCAACCAATTTATTGATCGATCGATGATTAATCAATGAGGGGTTCTTAATCTGTTCGTTATTCATATGCCCCATTGCCTGCCTGATGTCTCCTAATCAATCAATCAATCAATCAATCAAATCAATCAATAAATAAATCAATGGGTCGATCTATCGGTTATCAATAAATGATCAATAGGATGTTGAGAAAATACCGTCTCCATCTGGCCCCTCGAACACGGCGTCCACACCGTCGAGGCTGCGCAGTCCCCGCCACACCGCTAGGGGGCGTGGATAGCCATCGTCCATCCGGGCATTTTCCTCGTCGTACCGCCAGTACTGGTCGCCCTGGGGCGAAGAACACAGTATTACTTTTAGTATTAATACGCCGGTACATAAAGTAGTGCTGACAAAAGTAGCTAACATTGACTACTCAAGCCTGCCACCCCACCCTACAATCTACACCACAGCAACCTCGTCAAGTCACGTAAACTTTGTGCCCTTGGGAAAGGCACTTAACATGACTTTTTTCACTCGACTCAAGTGAAAATGAGTCTGTCCTGTGTTTGCTTCTATGTGTGGGACACAACACCAGCAACTACTATTGTGTCCCACGTGTTTTGCACTGTTGCAATTTCAATAAATCAAATCATATAAACTTTGTGTGACCTTTAATATGACTTCCCCTTCATGAGCTAATGTACGTCTGAAAGCTTCTCTTGTTGTTTCGTCTTGTTCAACTTCGGAGATAGATTTTGACAGACATGTCAGGTAGCATCCAGTACCTTTCGTCAGATCACGCAGCGAACACGTGATGATAACCAACGAATCACGTAGCGTGCACGTGATGACACTCACCTTGAAGAAGTAGGTCTTGCCGGAAGGTCTCCAGGGCAGAGCGGCGTCGATGTTGCTGACGGGCAGGCCGAAGTCGGAGATGGGCCGGGGGTTGCCTGCCTCCGGAGTGGTCCCGTCATACTCCCAGTAACGGTCTCCTGCAGGCAGTAGGTATTACACAGGTAAGTCCTGATACTGAGAGGGGAAGGTGTGTGTGTGTGTGTGCTTGTGTGTATGTGTGTGTGTGTGCTGTGTGTGTGTGTGTGTGACTGTGTGTGTGTGTGTGTATGTGTGTGTGTGTGTGTGTGTGTGTGTGTGTGCTTGTGTGTATGTGTGTGTGTGTGACTGTGTGTGTGTGTGTCAATCTACACTACAAGAACCTACAAGAAGTGGAAAATGTGTGTGCGTGGTGTATAAGTTCTGGCGAAAGTGAAAATTGTTTAAACGCTAAAATACTGGATCGCCCATCAGGCATGAGGATGGGAATAGGTAAAGGAGTGGTTTGATTGTAAAAGGTAGGTTGCTTCACATATTACAGTAAGTAACTGCGAAAGCTTTGGACTCACCGCTGAAGAAGAAGAGTTTGCCGTCCGACACGCGCTCGTACGCCGCGTCCAGTTTCTCGGGAAGGTCTGCCCAGAAGTGCCGCACCGGGTCCGGACCGGATATGCGACCTGTGCGCCCATTGACCCGGAACCAGTACTCATCCTGTAGGAAATAGAACAGGGTCATTCAATATAAATTTTATTTCATGAAAAAAGAATCATCGGTTTTATCTATTAATTTTTTGGTGCTCCCACTCGTACTGACCGAAACTTGCCTGAAGACCTTTGGTGATAAATGCAAATGTTGATGACATGTACAACATATGGAAACAGAAATTTTTACACATCTTTCGCTCAAATGTTGCCTCTATGACCAGTTGACCAGTTTGGGGGTCTGTGGATTTAAGGTGCAGTCGTAGATTGATCACCTTGAAGAAAAACAGTTCCCCTCGGAATCGCAAGGTGGCGTCAAATTCCGGAGTGTTGCACCGCTCGGGAGCCAGGTTGCACATGGGGAGTCTGGGGTTGGGAACTTCTTGGGCTCCTATTATGAGACAGAATTTTATGCTTGAACAGTGGGTTCTCTGTTTCACAGATCTATATTCTATATCAAAATGCACCAAACATTAAGTCTGATAAGAGAGAATGAGCCGCTTCACAGTTCCGGTTCGTGCGCATGCTCAACTTTATGATACAGCGTGGACATGGGCCCTAAACTTTGACCATAGACCACAATGCATCACGACTACATATGCGCACAAGGAACAGTGAAATGGCTTATTACAGCTAACCATACAACAATCTAAAGACATCCAATGCAATTTCAGTTTAGCAAAACAAAAATGGATGGCATGGCAGGGTTTAAACCCGGGACTTCTTGGTTTCGAGACAAACACTCTTCCGTTACGCAACACTTCCTTGTTTTTTTATCATTTTTTTTGCTCATCTTACCGTTTTTCATCTTAGAGTTTCTGAATGGCTGCCTTGTCGTCCGGGTGCAAATAAATCAAAACAAAACAAAAATTCTGTATGAAAAAATCTGTCTGATAATGACATTTACTGCCAATTTCAGCTCATTTTTGTCATCATTTCATACTTAATTGGTAGGCTAGGTGAGGAGCCCTTTTGATTTTCAGTAAGGGTTCTACCATCAGGACTTTAAAAACCCCAGACCTAGAGGAAGACCCCTCCTCCTTCCAAAAGATGGCGAGACCAAATAGATGGCGAGACCAAATAGTAGATGATTAAAACTTACCGCATAGTTTCTGAATGGCTGCCTTGTCGTCCCTTTGTGTTTTTTTCGTACTTTTACTATTTTTCAAAAATCTTACCGTAGAGTTCTTGAATGGCTGCCTTGTCGTCCGGGTGCATGCAGGGCTCCTCCTGGTACACGTACGCCGGGAACATGATGGCGCCCAGGATAGGTGTGTGGCTGATACCCAGCGCGTGCCCGAACTCGTGGATAGCCACGATATACAGGTTCACTCCTGGAGAAAATGACATTAATTATTTAATTAACCAATCGATCGATCGATCAATCAATCAATCAATCGATTGATCAATCAATCGATAAGAGTAATCCTTCAATATGCTAACCGACCAACCATAAACTCGTGAATGGCCACGAGCAGATTCACTCATGGAGACAATAGGATCAATCAATCAATCAATCAATCAATCAATCAACTACTCTAAGATTTCCAGCCTGCAAGGTTTCTGTCCGAGGCAAATTGAAAGCACAGTACGCCAAATTAGTTGTGCTAACAAATTCACAAACTCTAAATACTCTCATTTTTCTTTCAACGCCCTCAATTTAGTTGATGATCATTCTGACATTTTGGGTTTGATCTGGTCTCCGATTTCTTGCTTGTGCACATATCGGACCAGTTTCTCACCCCTATCGGTGTTTAACACTCTCTGGAGGTTTGAAATCTCCCATTTCTGGTTTGCCACATATTGGGCCTGTTTCTCATCTCTGCTCAATACTTTCCGGAAGTTTTCCAATTTCTTGTTTGTGCACATACAGAACCCGTTTCTCACCCCGGGCTGTGTTGAGTGTCCACTCCTCGTCTCCGTCGAAGTGCGAGTCACCGTCGATCCGGTACGTGTACGAGTCACGTGGCGGCTGGAACGCATGCGCCAGCTGCTGCCCCCTTCCGGTACTCGGGACGTACCTTGGGGGAAAATAAGCATCATGTTACAAAAAAAAAATTCTCCCGATTTTCAGCTCTACTGTAGTCTACTGTTTCTCTGCTTAGAACTCATCAGCATCGATGAGAAAGAGTATGGGAAGGTCAAACACACTCCATCACCAGTGGGCTTGCCCCCTGCTGTAGTACTGCTGTAGACAAAAGCGTCCGAACGGCTTGTGCTAGGGCCACCATATGTTACAGAATCTCTCACTGATACATGTAGGGACTGACTGGGCGTCGTCCCGGGCAGCTTGTGGTCATTCCCATTCCCTAATCTACCCTAAAGAAGTCAGGGTTCTTTATCAATATCAGTCCTATAGGAGCCCTGGATGCTCTGTCGCTATGGAAACCAGTCTTCAAAGTCTGACCAATGGAAGTGAAAGTGATCTCGAACCAGTTTAGCTCATTGGTCGTGACAGAAAAGACAGACGCTATGTTCGACAAGCACAATGAACAGTGAACCACGGCTTAACGTCCCGTCCTAAGGACTGCGACCCTAAACAGTAGCGTGCATGTCGGGTGAGCGACATCAGCCGGAATTCGAACTCCCAACCTCTTAGTCTACCACTGCACTACACGCACGCTACTGGACGAATGGGAGGCTAACCGGGGCTTACCTTCCGTCGAAAGGCGAGTTGTCGCTGTGGTCGCCGCTGACGAACTCTACCAGGATGTCGACGTCGGTCCTCTGCGGGTCGCGCACCTCGGAGAAGGTTAGCGGGGTGTAGTCGGACCAGACGCCGAACGCCTCCCGGACCGTGTCCCGTACCTCCCGCTCTGTCAGGTACGGGGTGAAGTTCTCGATCCTGTGGCAGGAAAAAAAGTAAGAATGTTGGCGAAGAATAAAGAGACCCTTATCAAACAATTAAGAGGTTTATTCAGCCGACGTTTCTCGGTCCTGTGCTCGGAGAAAACATCAAGAAAAGTTGTTATTGTATCCAGAACCATGTCTATCTTATCTAGTTCTGAGTCTGAATTTGTTCAGGAACGATTCTGGATAGTCTCTATCGTATCCAGAACCGTGCCTATCTATTTCTATATCTTTGAATGGGTTACGGTTAGGATTAGGCATGGTTCTGGATAGTCTCCACATGTCCAAGAACGTATTACCCCATGGCCAGGCACGATTCTGGATATCATGGACCGTTGCTACGAATAGTTCTGGATAAAGCAGGGCTATCTAGTTCTGGACACATATTTCAAAGACTACCTGTAGCAACATCCTCACCGTGGGGTCGTGTGGTGTAGCGGCAGAGTGCGCGACTCGGAACCTAGAGGGCCTGGGTTCGAGTCCTGACATGCCACCGATCTTGTGCCCTTGCTGGGAAAGGCACTTGACACGACTTTCCTCACTTCGCTCAGGTGAAAATAAGTATTGTCCTGTCATGTATTTGTCCCCTGTGTTGGTGGCGGCATTAATATAAGTTGAAAAAAACTTGAGTGTGCCGTCACCACGTCTGGTGATTACATGTTGGAATAAAAAAAAGCCTCCTCACCTGTAAGTGATGTGGTTCTTCTCCCACTTGGTCCCGGAGAGCTGGAAGTTGGCGATGACGTCAGTGATCCCACAGCGAGGCCTCCTCATGGCCTCAAGAGTGGACTCGTCCATCTTTCCGGTCATGCGCAATCCGTAGTTATACTGCACCAGCTTGATGGCGGCGGAAACGTCGCTGATAGACGCGATCTCTTCTCCCATGTCCTCCACCTTCAAGTAGCCGTATTTCTGCATGAATTCCTGAAATAGGGAAATCCTTTTCATTTATTCATTTTGTATCATTAAGTTCGTATTATTCATCCATTCATCCATTCATCCATTCATCCATTCATTCACTCACTCCTTCACTCGCTGATACCGCGATGTCTTCTCTCATGTCTTACTCCTTCAAGTAGCCGTACTTCTGCATAAAGCTCTGCAACAGGGAAATCAATTTTGCATTCATTCATTCATTCATTCATTCATTCATTCGTTCGTTCGTTCATTCATTCATCCATTCATTCACTCGCTGATAGACGCGATGTCTTCCCGCATGTCCTCCTCCTTCAGGTAGCCGTATTTCTGCATGAATTCCTGCAACAGGGAAATCCATTTTATTTATTTATTCATTCGTTCATTCACTCACTCACACTCACTCACTCTCTCACTCACACACTCAAAAGAAAGAAAGAAAGAAAGAAAGAAAGAAAGAGAGAAAGAGAAAGAAAGAAAGAAAGAAAGAAAGAAAGAAAGAAAGAAAGAAAGAAAGAAAGAAAGAAAAAAAGAAAGACGAAAGAACGAAAGAAAGAAATAAGTTAAGACAAAATTGATAAAAGCAAGGAGGGGTAGAGCCGGATCAGCCTGGGAAGGGGATAACCTAATTGGACTGATCCAAGAAGCCTGGAGCCTGATAAGAAACCGCAAAAGCAAAAGTCGCGCTGGCATCAAGATTAGAACCGCATGTTCGGGCGAAAGTAACAGGAAACAGGACGCCCCCCTCCCTCTCCCCCTGTTGACAGAAAAAGGACAGGTACAGTTCTAGTTAAACTTGCCCAAGCTACCTTGGGTTAATTGGGCAGTCTGTTGTATAATGGGTAGAACTTGGCCGAGCGGATTTGTTGTTCTCTTCCCTATCGTGTCGTATCTTCCCTATATATTTTGTGTAAGGAGGCCACTTGTGTAAGAAGACCACTATTCCTCTGTCCCACTGAGTGGTCGTCTTAGACAGGTGTGACCGCGCTTACCATTCCTTCCTTCATTTCCTCCGTGGCCATGTTGATTTCTGCTATCGGACTCTCGTACCCAGGCGGTTCCGGGTAGAACGGACCTCGTCCCCCGGGCAGGCCCCCAGGCGCCACCGGATGCTGCAAGTTTGCAAATAATGAGAAGTCGTCAGGAAAGACGTCACACTATTTTTCTACCTTCCAAAAAGCAGTTGATCTTCGTCCTGAAACAAGCAATACCTTTACAATAGCTCAATTGGTAGAGTGCTCGCTTTGTAACCGGGAGGTCGTGAGTTCAAACCCCGGCCGGGCCATACTAAAGACATTAAAAATGGAACACACTTCTTTCTCTGCTTAGCACTCATCATATATGAAAAGGAGTATGAGAAGGTCAAACACACAGCACTACCTGCGGACTAGCCCCCTGCTGTAGTGCCCTGCACAACTGTGTGGCCCAAGGGCTACAGAAATGGAGATGGGCACCACCCCTATGCTCTACAATAGAGTGGAACGGGACCTTTTTTTTTTGGAAACGAGCAATTTTTCGTAAGAGACTTTTCTAGTCAACTTTTGTTCATGCAAAGATAATAATACAATAAAGCCAAGAAAATACAAATTAGCTTAAGTTCATTCCTTTGCAAGTTCAACAGTCGATAAATTTGGACAAGGACATTGATGTTCTTAATTTAGGTAAGTTCATTTTTGTGCGTTGAGAATTATAGTTGAAACCTATAGCTAGCTCAGAAAATCAAAGCTCTTCATTTTTGTTGTCGTTATCTTAAAGTAACGTATCAAAGGTCACCCTGTAGACTCTGAGTTAGTTTGGCCTGTTACGATGTTGTTTTTATACAAACATTAAACAGAGATAAGATTGTGCATAAGAGGCTGTATTTACCATGTCGGGTTCCAAAGACGAACAAAATCTTAGCAAAGAAAATGTTTTGTTGTTCTCATATAAGTTATGCATCAAAGGTCGATTTGTAGATTGAGTTTTACCTGTTACGATGATGTTTAATAGAGTTAGTTTGGCTTGTTATGATCCTGATTTTACACAAACATTAAACACAGATAAACTTTTGCATAAGAGGCTCAATTTACCACATCAGGGTCCAAACACGAACAAAAACTTCGCCTCTCTCATATAAGTTATGCATCAAAGATCAATGTATAGAGTTAGTTTGGCCTGTTACGATGAGTTAGTTTGGCTTGTTATGATCTTGATTTTATACAAACATAAAACACAGATAGAGTTTGCATAAGCTCGGAGACTATTTACCAAGTCGGGGTCCACAGACTAACAAAAACTTAGCAAAGAAAATTACAAGTTATGCCTCTAATGTCGATTTTGGCCTTTAACGATTCTCTTTTATACAAACATACAACCCAGAGAGAATGCACTTACTCTGTGCACAACTATTAGTAATTATTATATATTTACCCCGTCGTCCAGTTCTCTCTTATGTCTGTTGTCGCTCACAGGTGACGTCGACGCCAGGTAGAACGTCACCAGGAACACCGCTAGCGTCAGCGTAACCTTCGCCATTGCGACACTTGTAGCAGAAGTCTGGAGTTGCGACACTTGTAGCAAAGTCTGTGGATTGTGTTGTCCTTCCTTTGTGTTGTACCGAAGCGTACTGTGGAGTCCAGCGTACGAGTCGGGGGTTTATATATGTGCTTGGCTGCCGGAAACAGCCGAGGAACGCCGGAAACAGCCGAGAGCCGTTCGGATAAGGTCGGAAGGCCGAACAAAGCCACCTGCGTCAGACCTGTCAGTCGGTGTACCTTCCGGTGGGTTTCCAGCTCAACTAGCGGCTTCCTGAGGTGGGAATGGGAAACACTGAGCGCGTGACTGTTTAAACGCGACTTTGTTCTATTGCGCTCTACGCTGGTTTCCAGGTCAACTAGCGGCTTCCTGAGGCAAACACAAGAGCGGGACTGTTTCTCGGGAGGGCTCAGTGGGGGGGGGGGGTGCATGGGGGAGGGGTCCCGACAACGCTCTACGGTAAATTTAAAACATTAAATCAGATCCTTTTCTTGTCTCCTCTCTTCATAGTTATCTGCCATCCACCTTCCGGCATGGCGACAGACATCTTTGCCCATTCGGTTGTTGACCACTGTCAGAAGACAACAAAATTTCTAGTTTTTTTTCCAACATTAGGCAAAAACTAATGCGCGCGCTGATGTCACCCATAAAATTACTTGCTGTGGCCTTAATCAGAATAAAAATATTTTGTTACGCCCATCATGAGTTGATCGCGTGTTCACCATGACTTTGCAATTGTTTATCCAGTCGAAAAGGCAAAAAAAAAAACACAAAGAAACGGACGTCCTGTCACGGGAAAGCGGAACCCAGCGTTTTGTAGGCCCGCTTAGGCTTAAAATAACAGCAGCCGGTTTACGGCTTACTCACGTGCGGCAAAAATAGTCTGTTTTTGTCCGTGTGTTTATGAGTCAAGCGTTAAAAATGATATCCTCAACAGGCAATTATGTTTGGTATGTGATTTGTTTGATGGAAAGTAAGAAGTATTTTATATCTTTTGATGCGAAAAATGTCTTGTAACAATACAATTTTTAACATCAACAAGAAAGTATGTGTAGTGCGTACTCGTTTTCTTGTCATCAGTCTGTAGTTTCATTGTAAGCTAATAGGCCGAATAGGTCATTGTGACCTCATACTATTACTTGTATGTAAAAGTATACAACAAGATATACAGTGACCTATTCGGCCTATTAGTAAAAGGCCGAATAGGACATTGTAAACTAATAGGTCGAATAATCGTGGAACAACAGAGAACTATTTTGAAAACAGGCCACTTAACTTAAACGGCCAATTACTCGGTTGAATGAATACCTGATCGCTCATTGATAACATGTCTCATTGAAGGTGGCATTTTTCATGACCCAACGGACGTATATTTTTGTCAGAATTCGACGTCCGAAACACATAATTATACAAGTCAAGTCAAGTCAAAGTTTATTGCACAACGATTGTCACGGGTACAATGTATGGCAAATAATAAGATTACTAGTTGGTATGTGTCTAACATAATGCTATATATATGGTCAACGGACATTGTATCTGACAGAGTATTATAAATAGCTACTGGCTAGAGAATATTTCGACTCTACATGTACATTCTACATTACGCTAGACTATACACATGAAGGGTACAGTGAGCAGTTGTACCTAATTATACTAAACATGTTCTATGGCTACTAAACAGTGTATACTAAGTTACTTGCCAGGAATGTTAAGATTCTACATACAAATGCTACGAAACGCTATACTATATACATGTAGTTGATAAAAAATTCAGTGACTCTACTTATACAGCTATTCTAAGATGTCTTTTTTGCATGGCATTATAAATGTATTGACCTATATATACAGAAAATGTGTCTGGACATGACATAAGTACACGGAACGTCTCTCTAGATTGTGTTGGGTAATGTTTTAGTAGTCTTACATCGGATCATCTGCATTAAATTTGCGTCTCTCTTCGTCGTATGTGGGGCATGTCATCAGAAAATGATATTCGTCTTCAACTCCATCTTTGCACGTAGGACATAATCTCTGACTGGCTGGTATATTGTTGTGTCTGCCTTTTTCAATCTCTAGGCAGTGTGCTCCGATTCTTAATTTTGTGGTATTAACTATAAAGGATTTGTTTTGAACAGAAAGGAGATAGTTCTCGATGTGAAAGTTCTTTTTTATTTTTGAGTATGTTTCAAGTTTTTTAAAGCTATTTATCTTTTGCCTCCAGCCAGATAGAAATCCGTCCTTAAGGCGCTCTTTGAAAATGAATCCGAAATATTTGGCATCTGTAATGGGATTCAACCAAATATTTTGGAAACCATGTCTACAGAGTGTGTCTCGTACATGGACTACCCAGTCTTGCTCTTGTCTAACGGCTTCGTGATATGCTTTCTTAACTATTCTGTCATCAGGAAGGTTGTTTAGTCTTATCCAATAATTATACATGAATCACCTGCGTAAACCTGGTACTTATGCTGGTATGTGTTAATAGCCGGTTATTTCTGTTCGGAATGTTTTTGTGGTGAGTCTTCCTTCCCCTGCGCATTTTGCACATTCGGGTATAATCTTATAGCGTTTATTTCATTGAAACGTCATATTGTACAAAATACAACCATTCAGTAGCCTCTACCAGGCTTCGGGAGGCGGCTGGAAAGAGTGGAAATCGGTCAAATAGAGAGATAACATGCCGGGAGAGTTGGTCCACTAGAGAGTACATTTGCCACACCAACGTTGGGTTGGCGTAGAAAAAATACCAGAGCAAAAAGAAAGCCCGATGAAAAAAAACAAAAAAAAAAACAAAAACAAAAAATACGCCAAGCGCCAAAAATTAGCCTCTACCAGGCTTCGGGAGGCAACTGGACAGCAGACAAACTCCCCCGGCATGTTATTTCCCTATTTATACGATTTCTACTCTTTTTAGCCGTCTCCCGAAGCCTGGTAGAGGCTAGACAAAAATAAGTCAAACCCCAAACCTCTGCTTTGAGAGTAAGTGGATATGTCCTCGCCATACGTGCGTAGTTTGGTTTGGCCCGCGGCCATATAACCTGTTGTTTACGGTACACTTGAGTACGCGGGTATTGTTTAATGTTAGCCTGAAGAACCCAACAGGATATAAACGTTACACGGGTCAACTCGCCTGGTAACCCGACACAATGACTCGGCACGCAAGAAACAGTCGCTACCAGACTCAAGGTTGCGAAATTAAAGCTTCGGCAAATACACTGAATGATATAAGGGGAGTTAGCCGGCTATGTACGAGTATATTTTGTAGCCCATGGACGTCTCGTATATATGTATACATGTGTATTGTCAGCGAGAGAACTATCAGTATATATACATTTCAGAGATCAACCAGTCTAGATCTGTATATTGTTAATAACCTTATAAAATGACTTAAGATGTCACGAAAAAAAATACCAGACTCCTATGGGTTGCTGGCCAATAATAATAATAGAAATAGACTGAATACTGTGCCAAATGAGTTAACCGACCACAGGAGTTCACTTTGCAACTGACGGACGCCTAAAGTCGGCAAACACCTCTGCGGCATATCATTCAGTTTATTTGCCCGAATTAACTTTCCCACACAACCTTTTTTCAAGATTTCAAGATTCAAGATATCTTTATTGAGCTATCGCAGTGAAAATATCACTGAATTGCAGTCAATTTACAGATAATTTGTTTAAAAAACGCTCACAAAGACATATAATATTGCACATAATTCTGAATCCTTTGGTTAAGAATACTTGTTTGCACGGAAGTATATTGCTGCTCGTAAGACTACGATCTTTTAGTTACAGCATAAAAACGTTTTAAAAATTTTGGACGGTCGATAGAGACTAGGAATGTAACATTTCTAATCACAGTTGACCTGGATCGTAAACTGATAAGAATACCGGACTACGTGTGTAAATGACGCACTACATTGTTTATTGTGTACACTGTTGTGGGGGTTAAGTAGTGGTTTATCGACGTGTAGGTACATTACAACACAAGACGTCGCCTTTCAGTACGCACTTGTCTCTGTGACTTCTCACCCGTTTTCCCCCTTTTGTGTATTCTCAGCTTCCATTTGATACTTTCAGTAAATCAGATGGCACGTATTAGCGCTTAAAAAGGGGTACTACTGATATTGTAGAAGGAAGGCTTGCACTAGCCTCCGTAGCAGGCTTATAGAACTGGGGGTTTGGTGGTCTTCGGCTGTTTTCTAATTAGTCCGGTTCAAAAAACAGGGGTAATTCAACCAGGTCGGCTATGTTGTCTATATGCAATCAGAAAATAGCACATAAAGCTCCCAAAGACCATGAAGACCCCCAGTTTTTGGCATGCTATGGAGGCTATTGGGCGCAGGGGTTTGGATAGCCTCTACCGGTCTCTCAGGAATCAAACTACATCAATGATCAAGAAGGCAAAGAAAACTCATTTTGAAAGTGCCATCACCGACGCTGCAGAAGATCCCAGTCTTATGTGGAAAATAATCAACAGCTTCACAGGAAAAACAAAAAGTAAATGTCAAGTCCAGAAAATTCGACGATCTGACGAGAGTTGTACATCTGAACCTGCCGAAATGGCTGAAGAGTTTAACGACTACTTCTCGTCATGTGCAGCAGACTTGGCAAGGGATATCCCAGTGTCCGAGGAGGACCCCCTCCGTCATGTACCTGAGTCAACATCAACTTTCCGTCTACGGCCAGTTGAAGAAACAGAGGTCCTAAACGAGCTTCTTAGGCTTAAGCCAAAGAAAGCCACAGGTGTTGACAAGATTCCGTCTAGGCTTCTTAAGGACTCTGCGCCCATTATTGTCAAACCGTTAGCGCACATCTTTAACCTGTCTATAGCATCAGGGGAAGTTCCCGATGACTGGAAACTGGCTAAAATATCGCCCATACACAAATCAGGGAACAGAGACAGCGTTTCCAACTACCGTCCTGTCTCGGTCCTAAATGTGGCCTCCAAAGTGATGGAGAAAATGGTTCACAACCAGGTCTCCCACTTTGTGAATAGTACTGGCCAGCTCACGGCCCACCAAAGTGGTTTCCGTAAACACCACAGCACAGGTACAGCAGTGCAAAAGGTGGTGGAGGACATCCAGTCAGCTCAAAACAACGAGAAGGTAACTGTCGCGCTGTTCCTTGACCTAAGGAAAGCGTTTGACACGGTCAACCACCAAATCCTCCTTGGAAAACTTCAGAAGATGGGTTTCGACAACGGCGCGACAAACTGGTTCAGGTCATACCTCACAGACCGTTTCCAGCACGTAGACATTCAGAACCAGCAGT